GCGCACAAGTAATGCAGCCGTGAGGGCAGAATTGGGGATCCAATCCCTACGGTCGGGAAAAAGACGCGAGGAAGCTGACATGGCAGTATCGCATGTGCGGATGGGAGAGGAGAGGTTGCCGAGAATTGTATGGGAGGCGAAGTGGGCAAACAAAAAGAGGGGTAGACAACCCACGGAATGGGTCAAGGTTGTAGAGGACGTATGGAAGGGGCTCGACATCGACGAAGATGAAACGCTGGAAACGGAGGGTCTACAGGGGTTCAAGGAGAAGATATCTGTTGCTTGTGCCGAGAGAGAAGAACAGAATCTGAGGAAAGAATCCAAGGATAAGGAGGGTCTAGAAGTGTACGGAATGTTGAAGGAAGGAATAGGGTTCAAGGACTACCTACATGGACCAATGGATGCAGGAACAAAGCTTAAGATCAATTTCAGGACCGGGGACATAGGCCTTGGAGACCGTCTGCGAAGATATGGACGGTAGACGACGAAGACGACGAGTTCAAATGTAATCGCGGCTTCGAATGCGAAGACCGTGTTCACGTAGTCGCGGAATGTCAGTGGTACAAGAAGGAGAGGGAAGTGTACGTGACTGAGCTGGGAAAAATAGATGGAACGTACAGGGAGATGTTTGAGGCATGGAATAGAGAGGAAAGGACGGTAGCTGTAGTGGGGCATAGGAGGTGGGTTGAAAAGGCGGGAAGGGATATCGTTAGGATAGACAGACTAGGGAAGACATATGTGAGCCACCATTGGCAACGTAGAAAGGAACGATTGGCCATGGGTGATCGGTCCTGTGGGAACAATACTCCGTCCTCTCGAGGACGCGTGGTCAATGGTCTAACCGCTAAGGCATGCAAAACATAAGAGTACGCCCTTCCCCCCCCTCCCTTGAATCGTTCTCTTCTGTTCTAAAAACCGAGTTCTTTTCAACGATGAAATCCGAAAAAGACCAGGTTCTATCGAACCTTCGCGCACGGGTCCGGCTTTCCAATGACGCACAAGCTCAACTGCCTCACCAACATTCCCTGCTCCGTTCTAGAGTCCGCGGCAAACGGCAGTACGCGCGCTGAGCATGTTCCCGAACGTCGCCGCTCGTCAAAGGGAGCGTCATTTCTGCGGCCGCCCAGCGGAGCAACCGTCAAGTCTAGAGCTTACCAAAAACAATCAACTTCGCTCTGGTAGCGCGCGATGAGTTACCCACCTGCAAGCCTCCACCCTCATTCGCCTTGGCTTCGGCATCCCACTGGCTCACTAGTCGGTCGGCCTTGCCCTCAGGGTCCTCGCGCCATTCCCTCGCCCACTCTGCCCAGTCCTGCCCGTCCCGCGTCTTCTCTGGAAGCTGCCCCGGCACAGAACCAAAGCCATCACTTCCCGCCCCCCGCCTCGCTCTCTTGCCCTGATCGGACACGCGCGGGGCAACATCGAACGAGCGGCGGTGCACGCAAGTGTTCTACTTGAATCGCGTTGTGCGAATGGTATCGGACCCTACTACTATGTCCTTGAGGCACTTGAGCGAAGAAGAAACAGAAGCAACCAACGACAACCAACGACATCCACTAAGATAAAAGATCGGTGTTTAAATTTGCCACAGGATACTCCTCAAGGAAACAGCGCCGTCCACTCCAAGCGCAAGCATCCAAACGATTTGCATACACGCGCTTCGATGCTGTTATTTTATGACCACGAAAACGCCACCCTACACCTACAGCTTGCCACAGCGCGCCCCACACATTTGCTCTCTTTTCGGCTTTGGAGGCAAGCCCCGCTGCCAGAGGTGTCAACCCACATTACCCAACCCACCCGCGACGGGATCTGTACACTCAGCAACTCTGACCGTGTCAGTGAATAGATTTAACCCTGTCTTGGAAGTCTCTTGACTGATAACCAGGTTTGACTCTAGCCCCTGCTTACATAGGAGAGAATGACAGCCGCTAAGGTGCAATTTCTTCCTTGAAAAACATCGGTTGCGACTACCTGTTCAACGCATGCGTGTGCCACTTGTCTCCAAGGTAAGTGTAAGACACGGTGAGCAGGATGGCCTCACATGTGTGGCTGCGCTTTCAACGCACATCCGCGGGTGTCAATAACGTGCGAGTGCCGCGAACGGCAATCGGCGGTGGGGCCCCCTGCAGTTCAGAAACACGGTGCTGAGAAAATTAGGGAAGACAGCTCACGGAAGCATCCCGTGCAACATGCTACACCGATGTTGGCATCGAAAAAGAAGTGAACCGCCGGCCCCAACTGCTGTGTATGCTGCGAGTCTGGATGAACCCTCATGAACAACATGCGCTCTCACCTCCCCTGATTTGACCTGCCACTCTCCGTCCAAACCCATACTCGCTCCTGTTCCTGTTTTTGCGTTTGCGTCCCCACCCCCACTCCCACCATTGTCCCCCGCCCCACCATCACCACCTTCAGCAGCCGTGCGCAGTAAAGAACGCTGTCGCCGTTGATGCCGTGTTGGGAAAGAGTTTCCTCGGCAGAGCAGAGACGACGGAGAGGCAACCGCACTCGGTACATCATACCATGGTGACAACACCCCAGGTGCGAGTCGCGGAGAAACGAACGCCAGGCATCGGTGCTTAGTGCATGCCGACAGCAGCGAAAGGACTATTGGTGCAACAAATCTCGCTCGAAAGGTAGCGGAGTCCATGTTTGTCTGCGCCGATTGTGAATTGGCATCAAGCAATTAGCAGTATAGTCTGTGTCGTAAGTTACATATAGGCACACCGACGAGCCACGACTCTCACGGTCCAGCATTCGGGACTGTGATATTCGACGAATCGTCAATGCCCCGCATGGTCGCGTCAGGTCGTGCCCAGAGGTGGAAGGTCGGGCTTGGCGTGGCCCCGTGTCCCTGTGTGTATTTATCCAAGGAGGAAAAGACTGAAAGAGGCTGCATCACATAACACACATTGCGATTCGTGGTGCGAGGCGGAGCATCCCGTCGTTATCGTGGCCTTGGAACTTTCGCTCAACAGCTTTTCAATTCAAAAAGAAACGGACAGAGACGTGAAGAACCGGTGTGCTTTTTGTCAAGCCCAACTGCTGCTGCCGTGAGAGCGTCTGTGGCAGGGATCATGAGGCTTGGAGCGTCCACTGCACTGAATCAAGGGGTATTTTTATTGCTCGTAGCTACGGCAAGCACGTGCGGGCTTCTTGCTGGCTCTAACAGTCGTCCAATTCTTTGCCATGAAGCCGGTAGCAGGAGCCGCAGGAGCACCTCCGTGGTCATGAAGCTTGCGAGGCCTCGGGCAGTGGATCGAAGGGGTATTGCATGTACCGCAAGGGCGGAGCAGCAGATACAGAATAGAAGCAGCAGAGGGGAAGCAGCGGTAGCACCATCAGGAGTATCATCAATTGCAGCGGCAAAAGCAGTACCGGCAGGAGGACCGCCGGGGGTGCGACGACGGAGAGTTGGGAAGCCAGGAACTGGTGCGAGGGGCGCGGTGACGCCAGGGAAGGGCGATGTGACTTGGCACTTCGACGCACGTAGCGTGGCGTGGACAGCAGAAGAGATGGCAGGAGCTGGAGGCTCGGCTATGCAGAGTTTGAGACAGGTGGGTGTAAGAGCCAAACGGATGCATGCCATAGTCTCGGGGGCTCGCGGAACGGTGGAAACAAGTTTCCCTCGAAGCGTGCCACAACCCTCCCAACTTGCTACATACTGCGGTAGCATTAGGCGGTCGAACACTGCTTCGCAGCATTCATGTTTTTTTCGCAAGACACCAGCATACTGCTGTTGCAACTTATACTAGACCCTTTGCTAAATCCTTACAATAGAGCGTCATTACTACTGTGATGTGGTTTGCTATGCTGCTATTAATATTAGCTCCCACTTCGTAGGTCTCAGCTACAATACACAATACACAACTCTTTCACGTTGTTGTAAGACGGCTCAATCAGCGCTGGAGGGTTGACTCGCCGACTGAAGAGACACGTGCAAGGGTTGCGACACCACGGCCGCAGCAAGAGATGAGACCCCTACTGGTAGACAGATTCTGGTACACGTTCGGCGGGGACACACGACGAGGCCAACTCTGTTCTTTCGTCTTCGTGTTGGCGCCAGCTGGAACGAACATGGTCCTGTGACCAGGCTTAATTGTGTGCTTGTTGCTTGTTACTTTGTTACTCATTGCTGGTTGTTTGTTGTTCGTTGCTTGTTGCCAGTTCGTCTCCACAACGCGCAGAAATCGTGAACAAGCGTGGACAGTATGCACGCGTGAAAGATTAAAGAATACTGGTTTGAGTTTGCTCTGCCGGGCAACCCAACGTAGCTGAGAACCTGTCCCCAGAAGCTCGTCACCGGGATCACATCCCACCGGCAGCATGGAGAAGACACGCCCTTCTTCCAGCAACAGCAGTGGGCAGTTCTTGGGAGGGAATCATTTCGCGCCAACGTTCCTGTCTCCCACCCTGCTGAGCTCGGATGAAATGCAGTGCAAAACACCGGAGTCAACGAAACCACACCCCTGGAGCTACAGACTTTACTCCTAGACACGCAACGTTGACCGACATAGGGTCTCTTATGCTATCTCCGGCAGGCTCACAGCACCCAACAAATAGCTCCGGTCACTACTCGTTGCATGGACATGAAAACTGCAGAGCGTGGCTGGATTGCCTAGACTCAATCGCGAGGACGAGGCAACGTTGTGCAAGGACGTACAGCGATGGCGACGCCTAGAGGAATTGCGCGACGAGGTGTCGGCCGAGGAGGCGTCGGCGACCGGCGGGGATCCGGGGACGAGAGTAGGACTGGAGGCATGGGCAGCAGCTGCGGGCGTGGACGTGGCGGTGAGAGCCAGGTGTTGATAGTGCCTGTGAGCACTGTTACTTAGACGCGAGTTGAGATGGCTGCCGTTGTTGCTCTTGCGTCTGCTGCTACGCCACCTACTGCTGTCGTTGCATTGCGGAGGATTGCGACGAGTGTTCGTAAAGCATCGAGAAGTAGCGCGAGAACAAGACGATATCTGTCACGCCCTCTCTAGTTTCTACACTCTTTCAAGTCATCATCAGTCCCCTCTCCTTCAGGATCATCATAGTCTTCCTTCTGCCCACGTCCTATCGTCTCTTCGTGCCTCGCTTGACTACACCTTGACGTGGAACTCGTTGGCGATACATGCTGGCCCCGCAGGATCTTGTGGGGCTTGTGGAGAGAGGGAAGGCCGCCAGGGAGCAGCTCGTGTTGTCACACATTCGTCTGGTCATGTACCTCGCCGGCAAGAGGAAAGGGAGGACTGCCCTGTCGTCCATGGACCTCATACAGGTGCTCGGAAGCCTGTTAGCGATCAATCAATCCCGTTACAGCACGCAGTGTACTTGTACCCGAGAGACGCACGCGGTGTGCATGTACGACGAATGTTGAGTCGCCAGCTGTTTTGTGCGGTCGATACAAGTCATAACAGAACCAAACATAAAACCAGGAAATCTGTTGCGTATGACACGTTCGTGTGCAAGCGTGTCGTTGTTTTCTCCGGTTGTGTGCCGTCTTCTCTTTGCGCACCATCTGTCCTGCTAACCGTTGATTCATGCGCGGAGAAACGTAAGGCGCGCGATCGCACTTCACAATAGTATCGATCTCTGCGAAGCGTTGAACTATCCGCAGGACAAAGAGTGCGGCAGGGCGCCTTTCTTTTACTCGCGCCGCTGCATGCACCGGTGTCGCAGGAGGTACCAGCCGCCCGATGCACACGACACGTTCACCCCTCCACTCTTCACGCACGTAGCTTAAGTGATTCTACAAGTCATCGGGTCGTGCCGGTGTGTTCTTGTGTGCTTGTCTGTGTCCACGTACCGCCGTTGTTCGCGGTACCACCGGCAGGAAGGCGCTATCGCTTTGCACCTGGCCGCGGAGAGATACGATCCCCAGAGAGGCGTGAGGTTCTTCACCTACGCCGACTGGTCGTTGAGGGCAGCCTTCGAAAGGGCGGTGAGCGCAAGCTTTCTAGCACGCGACGCACTTGTGGTGTGCTTATTTTTCCGCTTGTTTCTCCCCTCTGTTGTGTACTGTCAGTGTGCCGTGGACAAACGTCGAGTCCGCTGACGTTGCCTTGCCTCGAGCCGAGTACCCAATAGGGATGTGTGTGTGTGTGTGTGTGTTTTTTCGTCCTATTTATTATGGCGACAGCAATCTCCCCATTTTTCGTGGTTAGACGTGTGCTACACTTTTCAGCGTATGTAGAGTACTACACTTTTCAGTGTATTTTTTCGTACAAATACAACCATCCAGGGTCACACAGGAGGGGGTAAACACCAGGGCTTTTTTCTTCTTGTTATTTCTTTTCATGCCCCACCTTCCTCCTGCGGTGCGTGCTGAACTTTATTTTTATCGCGAGAAGAGTCCAGCTGTCCCTTTCCCTCGTCAACGGTGCTAACGTCGAAGTTTGGTACTCACGAGAGCTTTTTTTAGCTATATTTCGCTTTCACCCGCAAATTTCGTAATTTTTTCACCCCATGGGGATTCGAACTCACTACCTCTGCGACTAGCGGATTACGAGGATACCACTAGACCACCGGGGCGAACAGTGTTACCGGGGTGCCAAAAATTCTGGTTCCGGTTTTCGACGCGGACCGTTTTTGTCCCTTTTGTTGCTTTGTCATGTTTGCAGGAGGCTTCTCAAGCGACGACGATAGCCATACCGCGGTACGTGTACGTACAGAAGCGGCGCCTCAAGGCAATACTCGGGCAACACTGTGGGCCCCAGACAAGTCAGGTGCATGCGACACGCACGCTGCAATGCGTTTCGTTGGCCTGATATGTACCACATTGTTTCACGTGTTTTGGTGGGATATTTCACGCTCGTGGTTGCTCGGATGTACCAGCGTTTGTGACCTATCAAGTCCTTGAGATTTCTCTGGCAACCTGTTGCTTCCGCTGCTGCAACAGGTAGTTCTTTGGGGATGCATGCGCTTGCATGCGCCGCGTGACAGACGCCCCTTGGGCATGTACAGTATATGCAAGTAAGGAAACGTGATCGCCGGCCACAAAACAAGCCTCGACAAGGTTGCACCCATCGTTCGGACTTTTGTTAGGAAAAGCCTAGCGGTTGATATCGATCGCAATCTGTTCTCTTTTTGGTGGCTAGAGGCTCCCCACCGGTCCCACCCCCCTCAATTTTCGCCCATGGTTTTTCTATTTCCGATCAGGATCTAGCAACGTCCCTCGACATGTCGGAACGCCAGTTGGCCAAGCTTTTGCGGAGGGCGAAGGATTGCCAATCTATGAACAAGGTCCTTGTTTCCAGCGGGGTCACACTAGGAGAGATGATACCGTGAGTCCAACCAGAGTCCAACCACGTGTCCGCATACGCCCGTCTTGAAGGAAGATAGTCAATTATCTGGATGTCAACGCGGTTGGCCGCCGAGAACAAACCCCTCACGAACCGGAATATCTTCCAAGATACAAAGATAGATGAGGGACGATTTCCAGCGGTATATTGACAAGCTTCACTCCATGGACTACTTCTGTAGATGTTTTAGCTAGCGCCAGTACTCACGACCTGCTATTCTTGCCGGTGGAAACGCCTCAAGAATGTTCCACTACCATCATGCCTGCGATTGCGCGTTGAAAACTCACCTTGCATTTCCCTTGCCCGCTCTGTCGAGGACAGGGGGGCTCAATCGTGTGAGAATATTTTGAGACGATTGGACGCGGAGGCATCGCTGGTCGGATTGCTCGGGACCCTCAAGCCGCAGGAGGTGGAGGTGGTGAGTGCCTTTGTCGCCGCTTTTTGTTTCTCTCTCTCACACACACAATCGGTGTGATAGTCGAACGTATGTGTAGAGCATCTCGAACCGCGGCAGGGACGCGTGCATTGAGCCAGTCGAGAAGGAGGAGCGCAAGGCGTTGTTGCTTGAAGAACCTAACACATGACGCTTTCAGCGCCCTAGAGACTCACTTATTGCCACTCTTTTTTCGCGCACTATATTTCCGTATACTTAACCTGGTATGATTGGCAGTGTTTTCAAGCGACGTTATTTCTTCTCACGCACGCGTTCTGCTTCCTGCAACCCTTCTGTCACAACAGCAGTCCGTCGGTCTCCGTGGGATTTGAGTGTGGCCAACCAAGACGTATGTGGCAGGGGTGGCAAACTACCGCCAAGTTTGTGTTAAATTTTGCCGCGTTGTGGCGAAGTCACTTGTGCATGTTTCCTTTACGCGCGACACGCTCAACACACCGGCGCCAGAATAGATGGGACGAACACACACACTAAAAATGTGCCTTGTAGCGTCCACTGCGGATTGCCCGAGGGAGTCTGTGTGTGTGTCTTTTTGTTAAATGCACAAGGTTGTAGTACCGGCCTCCAGCATGTGTTTTCCAACGATTCGCGCCGAAACCGTAAGAGCGTCATCCACCCTACCCAAAGAGCACGACGGCTCCTGTGAGTAGGAGGCAGGCCTCATTTTTGACATCGTTTCATGTTGTGTTCGCTCCTCGCGTTTTCCACCGGCAACAAGTAGATCGTCCACCGCTACGGGCTGTTCGGCCGAAGAAGAAAGTCTACGCCGGCAGTGGCCGCGGTCATGGGAGTCAGCCGACAGTACGTCGGGCGCGTTCATCGGTCCGCGCTTGAAAAGTGAGACAGGATAAGACAAGACGAGACCGCTGCAGCTCTCCCTTGTGTCTACGCTGCAGGCAGCATACGCCTCTGCCTGTCTCCAAATATTCGATCGAATCAAGCCTTTTGTTAGGACGGGGGTTGCCTATCTGATGATTTCAACAAGTGCTGTCTTGTCGGGAGCGTTTGGACTGCTACTGACTGTAGGATTGACCAGGTCTGGTTTAACAATGGAATGAGTTGCAGCGAGGGTTGGCCAGTTCGCCTGGGTGGTCATGTTCGGGTTGTGGGTCCTCATCTCATCTGCCACTTTTTCTAGAACCGGATGCATGACTTTTCGTGGACCACGGTCTACTCACGCGCACGACCGTTGTCCCCTTCTGGCTTTTGTATTTCGCAGGATGCGAGCGTCTTTCGAAGCAGACCAACAACCAAGGTTTCACCCCAAGACCATAGGCACCAATGCCGGCTCCGCGGCTGGCGGCACCGCGTCAACCGTCGTGGCTAGCCGCCACCACCGCTAGGTAGCGCGCTGTCGCACGCCTGACCCAATCCTGGATGAAATCGGAGTTCAAGCTTTGAGGAGGCGTGGTAGTGACGGAACAGGATAGCGTGTTGACAATTATATGTACATATGATACGGTGTCGCGAATATGTACAGAACACGCCACAGCGTAAGAAACTCGCGTTCTGCGCGCGACCCTCGCGCTGTATTTGATCTGAGGGTCAGCCGTGATGGGTAGTGCGGGCACGGCTTAAGTTCTTATATTTCGTGATTATCGATCTCTCAATTCCCCCGAGACCAACTTATTGAGTGTTGGCGCGTTTTGTATTGGTTGAACATCAGCTTAGCAGCAGCCAGTTTTCATGCTACTTTTCTTGGTATGCTTGCATGCGATATACTTTGAAGGAGTTGTGTTTGCGTATGGTGGGATCGAGAGAGACGGAGAAATAGAAAGAGAAATGACCGGGAGAGAGAACGGAGAGGAATGAATGGGAGCGAGAGGAGAGAGAGAGAGAAAGGGAGAGGGAGAGAGAGAGAAAGAAAGAGAGAGAGACGGAGGAACGAGAAAGAGAGAGAGGTGTAAACTTTGTGTGCGTGCTTCGGCGTGGTTTTTTATGCATTCCAATGTGTCTGGCGAAGCTTGTTGTCCCACCAGAGCGTTATTTGTCATGTTCGATCGATAAATGCGATTTCTGTTTACTTGGTTGTATGCATGTTCGGGCAGGGCAAGATTTCCCTGCTGCGACTGTAGCTCGCACGTCGTAAGTAAGCGGATGTGCCATTTTGGCAAGCATATTGGCATCCTGCTTGGCGGGACACGTGTGCCACCATGGCAATGGATGGAATCGTGGAAGGCACAGCGGGCACCACAGCAACTTGAGAGTTTCTTAAAGACACAAAGAGTCCCGAGAAAGTTTCGAAACGTTGTTGGCGTGCAACAACGCTTTCATGCTCATGCACTCGTTTCCTGTTCCGCACCTCGACGATGCCCTCTCTTTCGTTTGTGTTGGGCTGTCGCGAGCATCTTCGCCCAGCAAAGCCTCAGGTACGATATACCTAGTATGTTTTGCCCAACTGCAAATTGGGGATTCTGGCCGGGGCTAAAATTTCGACGACTATGAAAACGTCTTGGACTACTATTGTACATCATTTCGTGGTATGGACGCTGGAGTGAACTCCTGACACTGAACATCACTTTGTCGTTGGGAACAATAACGCCACCGTAGTCTATCGCATAACGTCCGCAAGCTTTATTCTTGGCTTTCCATCAGGGTTGCGGCCACCCTTGACGGTCTCCACGGGCCGCTGCCGCCGCTGGCAGCAGATGACCCACGCGCAGCAGATCTCTCGGATCTGATTGAAAAGGTTGCGAGAGCCCCTCCCCCTTTCTTGGGGCAACTAGCCACGAAGACTGTCACCGCCCTAGTCTGGCCGATGTTCGTCAATCGTGAGCAATGCGTGGCCATCGTGTAGGCCGAAGCCGCAACAAAGTTCTGAGTGCCAGGCGTACGGAGAAGCAGCGCGCGCGGGAAACAAAATGCGACGTGTAGGTTAAAGCGTTTCTACGGAATATGCTCGAGGAAGACTCACGAGGACGGTCCTTACCAAACCCAACGTTCAAATTGTTCCTCAGCTGCTTTAGGTTTGGTTTTGAGCTTGCAGAATATGTAGTGGCTTGAGACGACCCCTACCGCAGCTGCAAGGAACCGTAGGTCTTTTGTTGCGGAGATCCAGGTCTTTAGTTACGATTGCGCGAGCAAGTGGAAACGACGGAAAGGCCAGAGTCCAACAAAAGCAATAACACAAGCCCGTTCTCACCATTACCAACCAAGGGATAGTTTGGGTGCCTCGCCCAAGCCGTGTTAGCTCCCACGCCAACACCACTGTGACCCAAGCCAAGCCCAGGGTACATAGGGCAGTCGCCTGGTCGCCGAAACGCAGCAAGCATCGAACCAGGTGTCAACCTTTGGAGAACCCCGGCATTCCACGCGGTTTAGTGTCGTTGTCGAGGAGTCACCTGTCTGTTCCAAAGGTTGGAATCTTACAACACTATGTGCACCAGGTAGACAGATCGGTCTGCTTCGATTCCATGCGTTGCGTCTAGAAATCATACAGAGACGTATCCTGCTATCACGGCATGACACATTTGCTGTCGTGACAGCAGGTCAGAAGTTATCATGGTACCTTCGTGCGACTTCAAACCGCTTGCGCCTGTGCTCCCCTGTAGGACATCGAGTGCCTGCTACAAGACTGAGAAAAAAATAGTCCCTCTTTCTGTGCCTGCAGCGAACGTTGTGCATTTCGCACGCGCTAAACATGTGTGCGTGCATGTTTTACTCAAACAAATCACGCAGATACCGGACACAGGCAAGTATCTCGCGCTTACGGGGAACAACCTGATGAGTATGGAGAGTGTTTTTCACAGGGGTGACCGCGTGGAAACCAAAAAACGATCGACACCTGGTGTTCCGCACCACGCATGGGGTAGAGTCGCTGGTTCAGCGAGAGGAGTCAAGATGAAATCGCTCAAGCAAATAAATACGTCGCACCTGCAACCACATTCTCTTCTTGGCCTTCGAGTAAAAGTCCCGCCCAGTAGCTGGAGCCTGTCCAAACGTATTTTTCGGGAGTACACCCCAGATAGTCTATATATTGTGTTTGTGTTTCAAGCCGACTGGGCACAACTAACTGCGGTTTTTACCTCGGTGGGCCGACAGGTGTGGATCAAAGTAGGTGGGGCTGGGTATGGGCAGCACCCTAGGGCAACAACTGCCAGCTGGGCTCCGTCGCAGTAGTTTCTGTTGCAACAACCGGTATTGGCAACTGCACAAACGCGCGAAGTAGCGGACTACAAACTACTTGGACACAGGCAAAGTTGTTTGTGAAACGACTACGGGTGAGAGGCACCGCGGTACAAGAATGAAGGGCGATGCTTCGGGTGAGCACGGGTGCCTGGAAACGCTTTGAATGTGGCGCCGACGTATTTCCAAAATTATCACTTTTCCTCGTCGCCAACTCGTGTCGAACATGCTTCCGTGGAAGGCTGGAAATATCTCGTGATATATCGTTCGTGAATCGAATTGATCGCCAGCATTTAGTGCCTCTCAAGATGCAGACTTGCCGGCTTCTTCGTCCCACCTTGAACTGTAAACGTTCTCCGGCGCACGCGTTACACACCTGGCGTGAAGTTTTGTCGATGAGGTGGGAGAGGTGCACACCCACGAAAGAGATGCCCATCACCTGCGCAGAATATTGCCGGGGGCTTTACTTATCCACTTTCGCGCAAAGTCTCTCACGGTCTATCCATGTCGGGAAGCAAAATCAAGTCGTAAATGGTGATGATTTAGGGCATCAATAGGTGGGGGGCGCTGGAGGGGCGCAGTACTTGTGGCACACAGCGATGGTGTACGCCAGTTGCATCGATGCTTGACATTCCCACCGGCATTCGGCGTGCACCCAAGCCACAATACGTCACCTTTTGCTCGTGCCACGTTCGTGTGTGCTATTCCCGTCCGGAAGTTGGGCAAAAGAGTACCGATGAATTCCCACTCAAAATCGCTGCAATTTTTTCATCGGCGCAAGAGTTGGGGTAGTTGGGCGTAACGCGTATCCACACACTTGCGCCTTGGTCGAAACATATCCGCGTGTTGTGGTGCGGCGAAGATTTCGCACCTGAACTGCCCACCTGAACTGCACATCATGTGGACGAGTTCTTTCTATAACATATGTGCGACTTGGATTTTGTAACATTAAAACGGCTCACATTCAGTACACGAATAGTCGGTTGGCTCACCACGAATATCGCACATGCGGAGCACAAAATATGTATACCGCTGATGATCTGCCGGGGTTTCGAGAAAACGAACGACGCCACTCCCAGTACAACGCCAGTCGACATGCCACCCATGGCCAGCTTTGTAATAGCTCCCCGCTCCTCTGCGATGGCTTTCATCTTCGTCACCATGCTGTCGGCGGCCAAGAGCTTTGTAACAACATTGAAATGCACCGGGGTTTGGAGTAGGGTCAGCAAAAGAACAGGAGTCTAGGAAATGGAATAGGTAGTGGTTCAGGTAGCCTTAGAGACGTACCCAGGCCATCCCCGATCTACATTACAGTAAATCAGCCCATCGCACTTAAACCGAGCGTTTACACTGGGGTACATAGCAGGAGCGAGGTGAGCTCGACGGCCTACCCAACGCATCTCTGCTACCATGGAGGTGCGTCAGCTTCAGCGTCAAACTGGCGGGTAGCGTGTAACCGATCAGCCCACAAAAGCGGCAAACATCGCGGTCAGAGAGTGCTTGGCGTGATAAGCAAGGGCTTCCGAATGCGAGGGAATGCGCCCCCCTAAGCCAAAATGAACAAGTCCGAGAGGATAGCTTATGGTTCAGAATGGGAGCGAAGGCGGTCCACAGCTGGGGGTAAGAGGCGCACCGAAGGCCGGGGAGGAGACTGACAGACTGACGAATGACTGAACTACTCAGCGAAAGGCGAGGTATATATCCCGCCCAAGTAGCCAAACAAATGCCTGGTGCTTTGCTCGTTCAAAAGCGTTGTTGTTCCAGGTCTATCATCTTCTGTTCGCCCAGTTAAGTGGCAAGACAGAAGCAACAATGACCAGCTTTGTGTTTAGCATTGAAGCACTCTGGATTCGGGCAGACGAAACAACACGGGATGAGAAGGAAGTCGATCGATTCGGCGAAGTTTTCAATATGATGCCTTCGTTTATCACTGTACTTGGGATTGGTGTCTACCTTGCTCATAGAACTTTGAGGCAGGCAACATGCCACCTTCGAGATCTCATGAATTTGATGTTTGCTTGAGCCTGGGCAAATTGTAAGGCAAACCCAACCACAGAGATCTAAATATTGCTGGAACTCTGAGACAAACTCCCTGTGTTTGAACCTCCTCTGATTCTTCACGCTAGATCATAATTGCCATCGACATGTGTCCAGCGCTGCCTCGGCGAATGGTTGCTTTAGCCAAGGTCCGATATAAACTGTGTATTCAAATCTGCATGGGCATTCCACTAGTTTCATTGGCATCTGGACAACGCGGTCTTAGAGAAAACATCAGGCCAAATATCCCCGCGAACTGGTATTTTCCAAGTCACTTCCGAATCTCAAAATGCGTTCCCTCGAGCCCTGGGTGCGGGTTCCCCGGAATCGCTTGGCATGCTCATATATATTCGGAAAATGCTGTCTCTATCCGTAAATCCGTAGTTGGAGACGGCGACTTTGGAACAGACTTTCCCTGTAGATGGTGGCATACATCTACCCAAAGTTCCGCAGCCAGAAAATTATCTGGGAAAATCTAATTGAAGCAACAGTGGAGTGTGTTTGGAGGCGGGCAGTTTGTTGTCTGAAGCGCAGAGAAGAAAGGTTCACTCAGGACATTGGTATATAACGAGTGAGCCAGGCATGCTAGTTCATGCACAGCAGAAGGGGGACCGCCCCTCTACCAACACATACCGCCAATGATACACGAAACCCTCTAGATCTCCGTAGATCAGTATCGAGTGCTGAGTACCCCCAAACAGAGCGATTTACCTAGACGTTGAGAAGCGAAATCGCAGTTGGACTAGGCAAAAGCCGGGTGGAAACAACCCGAAAGTGTTTCGTGGGTGAACCGTGGGAACGTTGAGTTTTCCCGGAGCACTACACCACCTGGTTTGGTAGACTATCCACCCAGAGCTCCACCGCAAACAAGGCCGCGCCAATGCCCACCGGCACAGCAATGGTATACCACCCTTGAACGATGCCCATGCTGATGAAGGATTGGCTCTCTCGTGCCATCGCCGTTGCGGTGACGAAGACAACTCCACTGACTCCAGTATAGATGCTGTCCAGTTATAGACGTTTCGGAAAGTGCACAGAGAAGGACTGTTGTGAACGCCCTTACACTCACTTCCCCCCCCCACGACGCTCCCAGACTGTTCGTTTGGACGACCGGCGGCTACGTCAACCCCCTTACTCATACTCATGCGGGCGCGACATCATGAGCGGCGCCGCACCCTCAGGGGTTGCCACAAACACTAGTGTCAAAGAACGCACGGCAACATTCATTACGGCCTGTGGAGCAAAAGACGAACAAGAAGCGCTTACATAAATAAGGCGCTATCATTTACTCCAGAGTACTTTGAAATATGTCTAATGCACCATGGGGGGTTGCATAGGGCGACTTATCTCCCCCACGCTTCAGCCCCCACCCCCCCCCCCCCCCC